GACGAGTACAGATTGTGGCAAATTTCATGAAAGGATAAGATGTGCAACAACCTCACACTTAAGTTTCACTCTTCACATATATACATCAGCTAAAATTGAACTTTCGATATTTTAAAGATATTATGGGAAATAACTGACAATGCCTGGAAAACACAGTACCGCTCAATGACGCTGATCACGAAAAGCAGAACCCAAAATGCTTAATCATGAAAATCATTAGAGCCCCCAAGTATGGATGCTACGAGACCGACAGACTCAACGTAGTGAGTAGGATAAGGATTGTCATTTTCTTCAAAGGACAAAACTGACTGGATTGGCAGTGTCAGTCATCCAATAAATATCATCCTCTTCATAGTAGCTAAAAGGCAAAAAGCCTAGTTTCATGTTATTCTCGGCGTATCTGCACGGTTTCTGCGACGTGAGTGATATTCCATTGGTTGACGCCATCCAACGTCGCTTAATTCAGCGTCGATTCAGTCTCGTACCAAGAGCTTAGCATAGACATAGCAATAAATAAGATGCAAAACTCGAAGTCGAAAGACGGTAACGATTACTCGACATTCACAGAGTAGACAAATGGGGAAAACAAGCGAAAAATTGGAAGCAACAATGACCGGTAAGTGTAAGCATTTCATACGAAAATTTAACTGACTCGTGTGAAAATACATTCTTATGATCTTTAGGCTAAAGCTTTCCGCACTACAGAACATACTTTGTCCGTCTCTTTAACCGTGCTTGGGGGGGGAGAAAGGGGACACTGCGCTGAACGCCTTCCCTCCTAGTAGAAAGTGATTAGGCTTCTTTACTCATTCAAGTTTGAAGAGCAGAACGCTTTAATGAGAACATCGAAACGGGAAACAGAGCCGCGCCTTAAGTTACTTAGAAAACGTTCCAACAAATGCTACCCATCATGAATGTGTAAGGGAAAAATTTGCTAAGCGTTAGAAATCGTCCATTTCAGTGGTAATGCAGCGTGGTGTTTCCTAAACGATGAGAGCGAACCAAGAATCATTTCTTGGTTTCTATCGAAAATGGCGACTACGTCCAACAGAGCGGCAGGCAGACGAGACCAAACTTGACGAAAAACCTGTGACTGACGCAACATCGGACTGCTGACCTTAACGCATAGAAGCACAACAATCAATCAGTTTTATCAACTGGCTAAACAGGGATGGAAAAGTCAGCGAAATCCTAAATCAATC